TGTGGAATATTACTGCCTCAGCATTTGCCTAAGTGATCCAAGGAAACCACAGAAAAACTTGGACCAAGGCAGACGGACCCGGAATCGAACCGGCGTCCTCCCGAATGCTAAGCAATGGTCTAGACCTCTAGGCCATGCCGCTCGGTGTAGATCGAGGAAAATTCGATCCTTCATATAACAGAAGTCGGTCATCCCTGGCTTAGATTAACCACGGCGTTGCTGTGTAGAGCTACTTACATATCTCATGAGCCTTTATGCACGAAACGCCAACCTTATTACACTCATATTGTAAAACATTAACTTTGCTGTTATCCATGTTGCCTACTATATCACCGGGGACAAAGCTCTAGATAAATTGTGTAAGCGGTAAAAATATAAGTAGAAGTTAATTAACTAACCTCACTGTGCCGAGGTTTGTCTGGCATGAGATTCTGAATAGCTTCTAACTCAGTGTTTGTATTAAGATGCTCTCCTTTTATCTTCGTCACAATGCTCGTACAAATGGTCTTTAGAAAAGGATAAGTATAAGTAATTTTGCAGAAATAATGTCCACAGATTTAGTTAGTTCTGCTCGTTCGAGCGAATTTACTACCAACCCCGATACTCACCAGCTTCACGTCGAAGTCTGGCATAAAAAGTTTCACTTCAATAAAAGAGTGAAAACAACAATCTGTCAGGGCGATTTCAAAACGACTTTCTAAACATTTTTCCACAATAAAAAAGTTGAAAGGGATTTCCAAGTTTCTGTAGCCGATCGTTGCAACAACTAGGACAACTCCTTGAAACTAGATATAGTTGGAACGTTCAGAATTGGCATAGTCCGCAATAAAACTGTCGCATTTATTGTCTTCTTTCAACTTACAGCTTTCAAGTCAATATACGAGGTCTGTTCAAAAAGTATTGCGAATTTTTAATTTTCGCGGTTTTCATTTTTTTTAATGGCATTATATTGGTACCTACTCGTGTCTCTTACTTATACCGACAAGTTTGGCCATGTTGAATGTTTAGTTAATTTTTGACAGCTGCTTTGCCTACACGTGTTTGGGCTCGTCTTCGATTTTTGCCTATTCCAAAAAATTTATCAATGAATCTATATCAAAATTAAGTGCGTGAAAGCATTCTTGACTTTGGCATATGGTGAATCTACCTTGGTCTACGTAAAGTAACGTTTATCGGTGGTACAAAATGTTCTCAGAGGGCCAAAAAGATGTGAACGACAAAGAGCGTGCTGGACGCCCAAGTACATCAACAACAGACGAAAACATTGGCAAAATGAAGAAAACAGTATTGGTCAATCATCGAATCACCGTTAGAGAAGTTTCTAAGGACCTAAATATATTGACTGGCTCCTGCCAATTGATTTTTACCAACGATTTGGGTCGCCGCGAAATTCGTACCAAAATTGTTCAATTTCAAAAACCAGCATTGCTAAGGAGCTGCTGAACTCTGTCCGCAACGGCCCATATTTGCTTCAAATGGTCATAAATGTTGACGAATCACGGGTTTATGGTTGTAACGTGGAAACCAAAGCACAATCATCCCAGGTGAAGCTGCCGCATGATCTATGTTGAAAAAGGCGCGCCAAGTTAGCTCGAATATGAAGGTTTCGCTTACAGTTTTCTTCGATTGTAGGGGCGTGATGCATCATGAGTTCTTGCGACAGAGTAGAAAAGGTCAATAAAGAACATTATCTACAAGTTATGCCCAATTTGCGCGAAGTAATCCGCCTGAAACGCCCGGATTTGTGAAACAACAAAAATTGGCTTTTGCACCATGATAACAACCCTGCTCACACATCGTTGCTTTTGCGCGAATTTTTAGACAAAAAAAACACTCTAATAATGCCGAAGCCACCGTATTCCCCAGATCTGCCCCCCGGTGACATTTTCTTGTTTCCGAAACTGAAAGGCCCATGGGAGGACGACGCTACGCTATGATTGAGGAGATAAAGACGATACCGAATGTTTTTTTGAAGTGCTTCGAGGATTGGAAAAAACCTTGGCACAAGTGTATAACATCTGGTGGGGATTACTTTGAAGGGAACAATATAAATATTCGTGATAAATAATTTTTGAAAAAACGCAAAATTCTCGATACTTTTTGAACAGACCTCGTAGTTAATGTCTAGTCAGGACAGGCTGACCTGAGGAGTAATCACGAATTTTAAACGTATTCGTAATGTAAACGTATCGTTTGCGTGTTGTAAATTTTGATATCTACAAGATACGCTCATGGGGGTGCTGCTCAAATCTTCATAACAAAATTTCTCGATGATGATACGGGCACGTTAAAAAATTTACTATCATCAACCTATATGCAGCCCAGAGGAAAAGTCATGACCCCAATGACCGAATCCGCGCCTGGCTACACTAGAGAGACCTTGTAGGGATATCGTAAAGATAGAAAAGAAATGTCAGGTAGGAATTGCAGCGGACACTAATAAAGAAAAATTCGGTTGTAAAGTCGGTTTACTGACGATAGTTGAACGTGACAACGTCATAAGAAAATACTGATGGAATGGTTTCATTTTTCAAAAGAAAATTTTAATTTTATTTGTTTGATAGATATTATATATGGATATAGAGAAGGAGGTAAATGGTAGATGTATTATTGTATAGCAGCTATCCACGCGGACGCATCGCTCATTCAAGTAGGAGAGAGACAGATGTCGAACGCTGCCGAACGCGGAAGCCGATTGTGCCTCTTTGTCGCTCGTTCCGCGCTCTCGCTTGCAGTTCAAGCCTTAAATGGAACGCCTCAGAGCGAGGTAACGCCGCATGAGTCATGTTTTTTCGTGCGTGCAGCCGGCTCCACCGAATTATAAGACGTTGTCACGTCAAAAAGAAAAGCATCACACCAGTAAATGTGTAACAGAAAGAGATGCAGACAAGCAAAATTTGAGCATGTTGTCAGCATCATCAGTTCATCATTCTCAAGAGTTTAAGACTTCTTCAGAATTTTGCTTGCAGTCATAAACGATATAATCTATCCCTTTTAATAATTTAGCGAATTCTCCCATAAAATGAGCAATAACTTTAAGGCAGCGTGTTATTCTAAGATACGCTTAGTTTTATAAAGAGACAGAGTGAGAGAGAGAGAGAGAGGAAACAGTAAAAGATAAAATTCCACCAAGCTGCGGCACTTTAAAGACTGTTATCGCTCCTTGGAAAGCAGCTAGAGTATCTTAATGCTTCCAGTAAATAATCCTTAAACAAGCCTGCTGCCTGTAGATATCGACAAAAATGTATTTTCACGCAGGAGCGAAAAGAAGGACTCTGTCTGGGTTCAGTACACAGACTGCCGTTGTTGGCTGCTTTGCCGCAACGGATAATGTAACGCAAATGACCTATTATTATACGATCGTTTTTCTCGAAAAAGCAATACGACTTAATGGATTTAGAAATGTTCAGAGAACACTTACGAATCCCCTGCGAAAACAAACTTTGCGAAAAAGAGCTTAGGCGAACAAAAAGGGAATAGAGGGCCAAAAACACACTCGCCGCGCGCTACTGTCGACAAAGAAAAATGAATATTTTCCAACATGCATAATGTATAACTAAAACCGAAGGAAAGGCTATGCTGCCGGTAGATGTAAATTCTATAAATACGTTTCACTATACACATAACATTGAAAATGCGCTTACATTTTCCAGGTGTCAATTTCCCCCAAAATTATGATAACCCATACTGTATGCAGCTATTCGTCTGTAATTGTAAATATATAATTTATACATAATAGCATATATATATGTAAGTGAGACTACATCATTAATATCTACGTATAATGCACTTTAATTTATTTTACAACTAACCTATCTACACATCTACCTACAGGAAGTAATTTTTGATAGTGCCGCGAGGGATAAAATAAATATTGAATTTGAAATTGAAATATTGATTTGATTGAAGCCGCTGCGTGGTGTAATTGCCCAACTGAATCTATGACGTAAGTAATCTACGTGATCAACCAAATTAGTAAAGGTTTCGGTCAATAATTTGTCGAAGGTAATTAGCAAATGTGGATAACGATGTTGAACTTGTTAGCTGTCATATGATAATACAAATATAATATAAAACTGTCGATAATATACTGCTATCTGCTGATATTTATTGCTAACTGTAGTATATCAAATATTGGACAGGACCTATCAAGGCATCTGTTTGTCCAACTGAATCCGGGACGTGACTATTTTGAACTTATTAGTTCTCATCGGCACGCCATTAGCAATTTCACTTTAATTGGGATGAACCAAATTACCTTGAAAAAAATCGTTTACTTCTTGACAAGTCAAGCAGTAGGTGAATGTCGTTTTAATTAAATAGGATGTTTGGTTGGTTGGTTGGTTGGTTGGGGATAGTTTAACAACTAATCAGCTACACTCAAAATTATAAAAACATGGCATACAATTCTGGCAGTATATACCATAGAATGAGGAGCTACATTCACAAGTATATATACTTAATTTTTCCAAATGTTTTCCATTGTTTTAATTTGAGTAGCTCTCGTTAGTTTCATTTTACTGACAAATATAGGCACATATTCTCACGAAGGGATAAAGAAGTTTTTAGAACTGTAAATACAATTTTCTTAACTCGGTGATAAACGGAATTATACGAGGAAAGACTACAATAACGATAACTATAAAAAAATCCACTACATTTTAGCATACAAAATAGAAATAGGCCCGAGGACACCTTTCCCAGGAATCCGACACTACCCAGTCGTATGGACACCTGGGTGTCTTTGAAAGATTTCCCCTCTACCACAAAAGCAAAAAAAAAAGAAATCAAATTAAATTAACTTTGTTTCAATCCTCCTTTAAATGAAAAATTAACTGTTAAAAGTAATTCCTTTGGTCTTCAGTTTTAATGAACACTTTCCTGAAAAGGGACATTGCCATAGATATAAATTGAATGGCGACTTTCTAATAAATGTGTGGCAACGTCCGGTCGGTGTATTTGAATTCCGTTTTAAGTTGGAACATATCATTAATTTCCAGAAGACGCCCCGCCGACCATCTTGATAAAGATCCCATCGGGATCGGCGTCGGTCGAACCCGGGGGAGATCTGGCCGTTTACCCCGGTTCCACTATCCACCTCGAGTGCCTCTTCTCCAGACGGTTGGGCTCGCCCGACTGGACGTGGACATCTCCTCTGGGACAATACCTCACAGGTAAGTATTTTTATTTTACCGAAAATCATTTTGTTTTCATCAACCTTTTCCATACATATATAGGTATAATAAATATATAGCAAATAAAATGTACATTATTTCAGTTTTCATGAGAAATCAACGAAAAATTAATTTCTTCCCAGTTTCACCACTATTTCTATCGAAAAAACTGAATTAGTTATCAAAAATGTACACATACAAGATACAAGATGTAGATTTCTGTATAAAAGTAAAAATTACGTTGGAAATACGAAACAATATATTCATTAGACAATTACAACCCAAATCGAACCAAATTGGAAGAATATGACGTGGTACAAAGAAATTCGTACAAATACTTTCAGTCTTTTTATATATAAATAATACATAAGTCAATCAAAAAATTTAAAGCTCTTGACGAGTTTACGTTTTATTCAAAAAATTGTTGGGTAGGTCAGGCAGTCAGACTTTTCAGTGCATTTCAGTGTGGCATTAAATATGCTACTAAGTATTTGAACCATTTGATCTTCCTCCAAACGTAAATGGTCAATCATATTTATTTTTCTTACAAAATACTTTTATAACATTTTGGATGATCACTCACTATGAAGGACAATGTGGATAATGCAAGACGAAACACCACCTCATTACCTAGTGGGGGTTAGAAATTATTTTAGTCGAACATTTCTTCAACGATGGATTTATAGAGTAAATGACTCCATGACCACCAAGAAGTCCTAATTACAATCCCCAACGGATTTCTCTATTTGTAAGACATATGAAGACCCTAGTTTATACCAATGAAATCCTTTCGAACTTTGGGAAGAAATACAAGATGCAGCTAATTTTATTAGGGGACAGAGGGGAAAGAAGCAATTTAAATCAATTGTGGACTTGTTAAATTGAATAAATAAACTGAATAGAATGAATCATGTAATTCAGGCGAGTGTATTCGCTGAGTTCCACTTTAAGCTCAATGAAGGAGTGAGGAATACCAAAGACGTAAAAGATTTATTTGGTCTACTACTCAGTGGCTTAGCACAGAACATCGGCAAAAAGCTATTTTGTATAAGAACGTCTGAGTAGGGTGTGGTGCAGATACACTAAATATTATATCAATAAATTATAGCACAGTAGAATCTCTTTAAGTCGAATCTCGATAAGTCGAAAACCTCCAAAACTCGAGAAAATATTTTGTTCCCTTCCCTTCAAGCCCCAAAACCTCTATTGCTAGAAATCTCAACCCTCTATTAATTGAAATAATCAGTGTCCCTGCAAGCCATTTTGGTACATGTTTTCCCTCTATAATTATAAAAATTAAATTGGACCTCTTTATCTCGAATATAGCAATGTTTTTTTTTGCAACCTTTACAACTCGAAAATTTGAAACATATTACGTCTATAGTTCGAATAAAACTAAGTTATAGACTTTAAGGATTTGCCGACAATGTAAGTACACCAAATCTTAACCTCTACAAGTCGATTCAAAATCCTCTATGCCTAAAACTCTATAACTCGATTTTTTTGGCGTCTCGCTTGATGTTCGAGTTGTAGAGGTTCTACTGTACCTAATGAGGTCAGAAAAATACATAAATACAACTTTTTTTGACAATACTGCATCATCGCAGCATCATTACACCAACCCACCCCTGTTCATGCTACATAACTTTCTGAGTTTGTTTATAAATTTTGCGCTGTATCTATTTCAATAAACACCATTCTAAATACATCAAACTGACGATCTTTATCAGTGCATGATCCTTTTATTTGTGGATCTGAACTTTTTTAGATTAATAAGGAATTATGAATCTTTCAAAACCCTTATTAAGGTCACATTGACAAATTCTAATGTATGTAGGTGTTGCCTGCTGAATGCTAATTAAATATGAATAGTATTTTAGTAAATTCAATGATTAACTTATTTTCAAGAGCAATAAGTGCATACGTTTGTACATTAAATCCGAAATTTAATTAGGTAGCTTTGTTGGTTTGCTTTTATTGATGATATGTTTACCTTTCATTAGACTTCGATACTCCAGATAATCGATAAGGTTGACAAATTGCAAAAGTTATTCTATTACAAGGGACAAACAAAGGAAATAGAATCAAACAAAACTGCAAGATAATGGAAGTTCTTTTCTCAATAATACAATAAACTGTTTCCTTTCGGGATTTCTAGTGTATATTGGTGTATGAGATCAAATCGACGCAGGACCTTTCTGAACTTTAAATCAGCTGAAAATAATATTGTTAGATATGTTTTTCGAACTATTGTTTTTCTTTCTGAGAAACCCCAATACATCGACATATCAGCTTTTAAAGTAAAAGATAAAAAAGAAGAACTGTCGTTTAAAACAAAGAACTGAAAAGTGGAAAGATACAAATGTAAATCCTTCCCGACTAGAATTTAGGGGAGGCATGCTTCATGAATCGTGTGGACCTCAAGTTACAAATGAGGGGCATGCCGATATATGGATTTTCCAGTAGATTCCTCATCACGACCCCCCAGAAAAAGAATCAGCGACATACTGAAGTAGAATTTGCCTTATGAGTTTTCCATATGTCTTATGAGGCAAAACAAGCGCATGTACGAGGGTGGATTGATAAGTTTCCGGCCTAACCAAGAGATGACGCCACTAGGCCTACCTTGAGGTGACATTCTATAGTACCATCCTTGGATAGCTTGTAGCTATAGTTTCAGCCCGATCTCCTTGCTAGTGTAGGTTTGACAGCACGCTGAACAAGACGCCTCTGTGGTTTTCGTAAAAATGGAAAAGCAGGAAAATCGTGCTGTCATCAAATACTTTTATTTGAAGGGGTTAACGCCGAAGGAAATTAAAAAAGAGATGGACTCAACACTGGGGACATCCTCCCCGTCATATTCAACCGTTAAGCAGTGGGTTTCCGAGTTTAAAAAGGGTCGTGTGAGCACCTCTGATGGGCCTCGCTCAGGACGCCCCGTTGAGGTCACAACTCCAGATATGATCGAAAAAATTCATCAAATAGTGCTGGGAGACCGCAGATTGAAAGTGCGTGAGATAGCTGAGACCTGTAAGATGTCATATGAACGTGTGCAACATATTTTGCACCAACATTTGCATATGGAAAAGCTCTGTGCAAGATGGGTGCCGCGTTTGCTAACAGTCGACCAAAAATTGATTCGAAAAAACATTTCTACCGCAAATTTGTCATTGTATAAGCGTAATCCAAGCGAATTTTTGCGTCGATTCGTAACCGTTGACGAAACGTGGGTCCACCACTACACTCCTGAAACCAAAGAACAGTCTAAACAGTGGATTGGACCAGGGGAACCAACTCCAAAGAAGGCAAAAACAATTTTTTCGGCGAACAAGGTTATGGCTACTGTTTTTTGGGATGCAAGAGGTATTATATACATTGATTACCTTGCAAAGGGTAATACTATCACTGGTCAATACTACGCAGACTTATTGCAACGTTTGAGCCACGAGGTGAAAATTAAACGACCTCATCTGGCGAAGAAAAAAATCTTGTTTCATCACGATAACGCACCAGCGCACACGTCAATCGTTGCGACGGCTAAAATCAACGATCTAAAGTTTGAATTGATGCCGCACCCTCCTTACTCTCCAGACCTAGCCCCGAGTGACTATTTTCTGTTCCCTAATCTCAAAAAATGGCTTGGCGGTAAGAGATTTGCGGACAATGAAGAAGTAATCGAAGCTGTAAATGGTTATTTTGAGGAGCTTGACGAATCAGTCTATAGAGATGGCATTAATAGACTGGAACACCGCTATGAGAAATGTATCAGCCTTGGAGGAGATTATGTTGAGAAATAAAAAAAAAAAATTTTTAAAAACCTTGTTTTTCTTGGTCAGGCCGGAAACTTATCAATCCACCCTCGTATAACCTTATAAAAAAGTGGGCAATCCCACCATCTTTCTTATGTGGGTTCGATAAGGCAAACTTCAAATATGGGAACTCTTCTTAGACAAATTTGTGGGTCATATTTCAAAATTATTAGCTGATGGTATAATCCGATTGATTTTCCCAATCTTTTTTAGTGTGAGTAGCGATTTTTTTCAGGAAAACAATCTCAAATGGTACCGGTGCGAATACGACGATAGCAGGACGTTTCCACTTGAAGCTGGCGGTAGCCACTCGGTTTCGGGCGCAAATTCAGCCACCACCGCTGATCACCGTATAAACTAAGGTGGCTTTAAAACACTCTCACACTCAGCCACTTCTAGTTTTACAGAATAGCAGCTGCCCAGTCGGATCACAAACTGCGGTAGCAGCTCGTCTTCACTATTTGAAGCTAGCGACAGACACTTCATTTCCAGCGCAAGCTTAGCTACTGTGGCTAGCCACCATTTGAAGTGGGGCGACTTGCACAGTTAGGCCGCTTGTATACTTATTAACGATTAGTAGGTTATACAAACGGTCACGTGCTGAAGAATTGTGACCTTGAAGAAATCTGCGCGAAGATAGAAAGAATACACACTAGGCGTGAGCAAGACAGAAATAGTTGGAACAAGCTTGAACGAGCAGAGCTCTCGATGGGCGGTCTTAGAAGATCGGCTAGAACTGTACAGTACTAGACGAAAATGTTTAGCAATTTCTTAAAACAAAAATGTATATACATTAACAATAGAAAACACAGCAAAAGTTTTATAGGTGTGTAAAGCGTTAAGTTAATTCACTTGTTATTATTTTTGGCTAAATACGCTTTTAAATAAAGCATATTATTAAATTTTAACGAGGTAGTGTAAATAATTTTGCAAATGGTACTGTAGACTTTTGTCTAGTTCTCGTTCGATGATCGGTGGAGAAATGAGCTCCGCAGACAAATACGATTGAATTTGGAATTATGCTACGGCGCATCCTAATAAAGGGAAGGGGCATATCTCCAACTTCTTGAAACGAACAGTATGTTGTATGCAACTGAAATGGTATCGACACTAATATAGCGATACCAGTAATCGAATTGGACCACAAGCTGCAGTAGCAGCTCGTTCCAGTTACTTGAAGCTAGCAGCAGC